AATGATAATCTACCTTAACCAAAATCAAAGTAGACTATCACTCACCCACACCAGATGGAAAACTCTACAGACTGTCGGTTCATATATATATATATCGTCACATATATTGTGACGATATATATATATATATACTGTTGAGGGTTCAGCCTCCTGATGAGTCGGTGAAACTCCGACGAAACAGTTTGTCACAGCCCCTCGTTTGTTGTCTCTTCTCTCTCTCTGCCGATGTGACCCTGAGGCAAAAGTTGTTCACTTTATTTTTCTGCATAACATAGTTTGTTTTTTGGATTTTTTGGAAATTGTTTTTTTTTTTTTTTTGCTGGGGCATTCCTTGGTCCTTGCACGGGCTGGCCACCCAGGACCCGGGCGGCCCTGCTGGTACTCTAAGAAATTACTAAATTAGTTAATTTTTTTAATTCAAAAAGAAAGAACTACCTATAGGTTATTGGCATTATTGCTAAACATAACTTAGCACCAACAGGCCTTGCTCAGTTGGTGCAGCCATGGACTGCTGAAATACAGAAGTTTGAATCCACATGCAACCAGGTGAACAGAATAAAAGACTTCTGAATTTCCTGGGGCAGGTCAGTGCAGCGATGATATCTTAAGGCCGTCGACCTTTTCGGGAAGAGGGGGGAAAAAAAGAAAAAAAGAAAAAAAGAATGCCCACTCAGCTCAAAACAAAACAAAAAGAAAAAGAAAAACATAAAAAAGAACGTGAGCTCCCTGCGAGACATGGAATAGATTTGCAAGGCCACATTACATCCTGTCTCTTATACACATCTAGATGTGTATAAGAGACAGGAATAAAAGACTTCTGAATTTCCTGGGGCAGGTCAGTGCAGCGATGATATCTTAAGGCCGTCGACCTTTTCGGGAAGAGGGGGGAAAAAAAGAAAAAAAGAAAAAAAGAATGCCCACTCAGCTCAAAACAAAACAAAAAGAAAAAGAAAAACATAAAAAAGAACGTGAGCTCCCTGCGAGACATGGAATAGATTTGCAAGGCCACATTACATCAGCAGATTCAGCGCAGTCAAACTTTCAGAAAACAAAGTGAGCGCCCTGAACGACATGGCAAAATTTGAAAAAATGTGTGATAGCCCTCAGAGCTAGACTGCTACCGTCGTCACCCGAATAGAACGCCCGGTTATCGCTGCATCTAGACAGAAAACTGCCCCAGATACGGCTATAATGACTGGGCGTTCTATTCAAGTGAAGACAGTAGCTTCACCAACATGTTATAGGTTGCATTAAACCACCATTCCCTCCGCGCCTCTTCGTGAGAGACAGATTTCTGCTGCACGCCCAAAAAGCCCAAACCGGCGCGGGCACATATATTTTATTATTTTCCTTTTGGCTGGCGTCACCAGCCTTTCCCATTTGGTAGGCCGAGCACCAAAGGGCACAGTGTGTTAACAGCCGGATCAGAAAAAATAGCTGGGAGAGGGACCAGTGGTTTAAACTTTGAACAACATCAACAGTTTTAACTTTTTCAGCGCTCTTTTTCAAGTTTTTTTCCATAAGTACATTGGTTATGCCTAAAAGAGAGAGGCTAACAGGGCACCACCTAAGTGCAGCAAACAATGGCAAGGAAGATACACGCTGACAGACAGCTTAATTCCCAGCAACAGATGACATTTTGATTCACCTACCTCATAGCTGAATAGCGCACCCCTAGAGTTTAAAAATTATTAAGTCATGAGGTCAAGTACCGTTGGACTCAACAATATTACTGGCGAACTCCCTATGTGTGTGTCCATGTGAGAGAAAGAGAGAGACAGTCAGAGAGAGAGAGAGAGAGAGAGAGAGAGAGAGAGAGAGAGAGAGAGAGAGAGAGAGAGAGAGAGAGTTAGAGAGAGAGATCCGATCTTACCTCAGCAATACGGTTAAGAGACGTTAAGACTGCAGCTCGATTCCCATGGAAAGCAGCTTGATTGGGATCCAGGGCAATTGCACGATCGTATAGTGCCAGAGCCTGAGAAGCAGGCAAAAAGAGTATCAGAAGAGACCAAAACAGAACGGTTCAAAAACCTATTAAAAAAAAAAAAAAAAAAAAAGACGAAACACGAAAACACAAAATATCTTCTTGAATTCATCGATCAACCTCGAAGAATGATGTAATGAACTCAACCTGCAAGAAGCTCATACGGACATCGTCATGCACAAATCTCACAATGATCCTATCGACTACTTGGTAGTGATGAAGCTGGTCTCTTGACAAACAAGACCTCACCAACCCATTGTCTCTCTGGTGCTGGCTATTCAAGCGAGCGGAATGAAGAACCGCACCGGGCAAGACAATGCCGGCCTTCTGAAGCAAACTGCTGTTGCTCTCACCTGGGCAGTATCACCAGTTAAGTCCAGGTAAGCTTTTTCTCTCCTCTCTCACTACAGGAGCGATCTCGCCCTCAAACCTCTCTCTCTCTCTCTCTCTCMCACACACACACACACACACACACACACACACACACACACACACACACACACGGCACAACATATGAAAAGAAGTTAAGAAAACGTGGTGAGATATAGACACTTTTTTTCTGTAGTACTTCTTTCTATATCTATGTGATTAACCAAAGTATACCGAGCTTGTCCATATAATAGGACTAGATTCCTTTGAGATTCTAATTTGAAGCAGTTTTGGCCACCATTCCTGTCCAGCAATTCGGCAGGATGTCCTGGGGAAATAACTCCACAGCTATGGTGCAAGGGCTCCTCTACTCTAGCTACGGGTACGCCTCTGACTCTCATCCTCTCTCACTCTCCGCTCTGCCTTCCTCCTGCAATCATGCAGAGCAGCACCCCAGCACTCCAGCTTCTCTCTCCTCTCTCACCGCAGGAGTGATCTCCCCCTCAAACCTCTCTCTCACTTTCAGCTATGGTGCAAGCGCACCTCTATTCTAGCTATGGCTACATGTCTCTCTCACTTTCAGCTATGATCATGCAGAACAATGCTCCAGCACACTCCCAGCTAGTGCAAAGGCAGACTGAATGACTGAGTTGAGGCAGGACAATCTTTTGCAGTGCTGATTCGGCTAGGCTTGCCTCCGTTTGCCTCCTCGGACAGCCGAGATTTCTCAATCTGTGTGACCCTGACTTTGTTTCTGCCAGTGTCTGCCTCGACCCGGTAGGCCTTGGACGCTTCTGGAAATAGATGCTGAGCATTTGTACTATTTTGTATGTGTGTCATCTGTGGCCGCGGTTGACTTCTGAAAACTTCTTTGGCTTTCAAACTACTTTATCCGATACGACCTGACTGTTGGCTTTCCTACGGTCTACACTCGACTTCTAGCGGGCTTGGGTGCCTCGTTCCGACCGTTGACCCCAGGTCTACTAACCTAGGGCCTTTCTAGGGCTTTCTAGGGCCTTTTTCTACAAGGTCTAGGACCGAATTTTGACCTCAGAACTTCCACTTCCTCGAAACAAAAAAAAAGAAAAAAAATATTTCGAAGGCTCCAAAAAAACAAACAAGGCCGGTGATATTAGGCCAGATTTGGCCAGGCCACGAGCAGATCTAGTCTGAGGTCAGCCCTTATTTCTTAATCCCCCCCCCCCCCCCCCTCCTCTCCCCCAACCCCCCTCCCTACCAGGGGTATTCTAGCAGTTGGGGTCTGGACTGCCCAGGCCAGATGACCAAGGCAGCATAGCATAAGATCTCTTTCTTGTGGAAAATGATTTACGCTTTGACGGTTTGACCTCATTATGGGCATGGATTGGTATACAGAATCAACCCAGCCATCTGCTTTGTATTCCTTTTTGTGTCCTACAATCTCCCATAAATTTTAAGACCAGATAATAATGCATACAATGTGAGGCCTCCAGAAATAACAAGATAACTTCTGCCAAGTTTGGCGCCAACAGCATTGATTGCTTCCTAGAAGAGAGGATTCACTGTCGTCTCACAACAATGACAATACGTTGAACATTTCAAAAAGATGTCAGCCTCTTCAGCTTATTACGGCACCGGATTTTTGCGCTCTATGCCAGGCTACCAGAGTGGCCCAGGGAAACGTGCCCGGCCAGGCCCCACCCCCCCCACCCCCCCCCAAAAAAAAAAGAAAAAAAAGAAAAAAAAAGATGTTTTATAACTTTTATTTGAAATTTGGCAATAATTTTGATGTGACTTTCAGTTTATTTTTGTGCATCGCATAGTTTTTTGAACTTTTTCTTTTTCAGATTTTTGGATTGAAAAAAACTAAAAAATTGTTGGGCCCTTCCCTGGTCCTTGCACAGCCGGGCCGCCCGGTCAAACAAGGTGACCCAGGCGGCCAGCTGGTAGCCCAGGCTCTACGAGTATAGCTGCAGCAACTGCCTTGTCTTTTTTATAATATGTGCTGGAAACCGGGTTCAGTGTCCCTTACATCAAAAGGCACACCACACTTCCTCTGTCATGGCTGAAGGACCCCGGGAGAGCGGTGTTGATTGCTCCCTTGATAGAGGCGGGGTTAACCACTTCTCCGCCTGTGCCATCGGCGGGCGCTTACTCTGACGTGCCAGTCCTCTGGAAACCGGGTCCACCATCCCTTTGTCATATTACCGTACCAGCACGGGGTCCAGCGCCTCTTGCGCCTCTCCTGCCGCCCTGTTCCTGGGTCAAAACTGTGCTAAGTCTAGGGCATTAGCAACCCCCCTGCTAATCTTCCGTGACTGCTCTCTGTCCCCCAGCTAGAAACCCGCACACGTGGTTAATCAGGGGCGTTTTTTTCGCCAAATGTTGCACAGATTCTGTCATATGGCCCTGATTTTTTGGCTTTTTCTCTTGTTTTTCTTTTTTGTGTGATATATGTAGGTGTTTCAGGGGGTACGTCATCTGTCCAGTTTTTACATGTTTGGACCATTAAACCACCAGTAACTTTCCCATATGTAGGCCACGGGCAGTGTCGGAGGCCCGAAACGAAAAACAGGCAGCCGATTCTATTTATCAACGGCGGGCCTCCCCCGCTTGGCTACCGCGTTGCCCCGCGTGTCTTAGATTTCAAGCGGGGAAAGGTACTGGTGGTTTAATGAAAAAGTTGGCATTTCGTTGGATTCGTTGAATGCTTCACTTTCACTCGGAGAGTGTTTTTGTGTTAGGGTTTTATAGTGTTTTTGTATTTTGTGTTTTTTCTTTCCGTTTTCTTTGGCCTGTTTGTTTTTTTTATGTTTGCACTATTTTTAAGGTTTTGTGTTTTTTCTTTCCGTTTTCTTTGGCTTGTTTTTTTTTTTTTTTTATGTTTGCACTATGGGCCCTGTAGTTGTTTGTGAAATTTTCGCTGAATTTTGCACCGAAACTGTTAGTGAAAACAGTGACTTCCCGGCCCTCCATTAACCGTGTGTCCTATCCCTCGGAGAAAATATGTTAAGACACGAGGAGCTCTGGATGCCATGAAGCAAGGTGTCGTCCTGAACACATGCTGGTATGGCAGTTCCCATCCGGTCTTGCTTCCATTTGAAGTGGGCGCCCGCCCCCCTCCAATGATCCGATTATGCCTGCCCCTAGCACTTCGTGAAGAAATCCGTTCTGGATCTCCTGCGCCTTGTCCGCGTCCTTGCACATTTCCCGTTTGGTCCCGGCCCGGTTTGTCTCATATACGCTGTTTCGTCTCCCCTGCACAATCGCGGCTATCGTCATGCATTCAATCTCCTCGAACTTCTGGAAAATCCACTACGGTCTTCCCCCGACTACAACGTACGGTCATTATAGCCGAATTCGGGGTATCTTTCAGTCTAAATAGAGCTATAATGACCGTACGTTGTACTCAGGGGAGGAAGGTAGGTGACTCCCTAAGTCAGTTAACACAAAAAACATAAATAAAATTCTCTCTCTTGGTCCATTGCATATAGAGTCTCATTATAGAGTCACTCGTTACGAGGAGTGTATGGAGAACAGAAAAGTAGAAGCGGAAGAAGTGCCGCATTCAAGACCACCAATATATTAGTCTTTGGCTCGAAGCTTTTGGCCACGTCAAAGTTTTGGGCTCAATGTCCGAGGGTCCTGTGGGTGCATCCAGAAGTCCTGAGGTCAGCAGCTTTAGTACTCAGTGTCGAGACACAGCCCCCACCGCCTGGAAAAGTCGATCCACGCCCCAACAAAATCAACAATCAGGCTCTCCCGAGTACGGCAGACAAAGAGTCAAAGATTTCCGACCACAGCCACAGATCATGCACAAATCCAAGGGCTCAAAAAGTGTTTCCACGTGCATCTAAGGCCTACTGGGTCCAGGCAGCCCCAAGATCAAGGCCATATCTCACACACTCAGACGAGTGCATAATCGCTCCAGAGGATGCAGTCCAGGCTAGTCAACACAATAACCGTCAGCTTCCTCCTCATTCTTGCACATTCTGCTGGAGCATTGCTGACGTCAAAGAGCATCAGCGCTAGAGGAAGAAAGTGCCAGCACTAGAGGAGCGCCAGCACAAGAGAGCGCGAGAGAGAAGGGGGGGGAGAGGGGGGG